TTTATATATAAAAGGCTAAGTGACTGACTGTACGTATGTCCAACCATCTGATCGACCTACCAGCCAGTACATATAACGCACACTGGCAATTTAAAAATAAATGTTGACTTGTGCATGTACAATATTTGTCCCCATCTGACACTGGCCTCCCATTTAAATTAATTGTACAATGACTATTTATGATGATTATTAATAAATCACAAGGACAAACTCTAGACAGAGTAAGAATATTCCTACCTGAATCCATTTTCAGACATAGTCAGTTATATGTTGCTTTCTTTCGAGTTTGAAGAGCATGTGATGTTACAGTTAAAGTTCTAAGTGCTTCATCACAAGGGAAATTAGTCAAGCACTTTGAAAGTGTTTTCACTCTTAATGTGGGGTACAGGGAGATATTAGAATAAATTTAATCACTTTATCAGTCATTGTTTGCATCACTGTTGTTTTTATATCATATTTTTGTTGTTTTTATTTCATTTTTTTGTTGTTGTTATATCATGTTGTTACTGTTTATTTATTAATTAATTTATATATTATTTTCATGTACATTTTACTAATTTTCTTTCATCTCTGACACTTCTATTATAGAGAAAGAGCGAATAGCTCTTCCTTAAATAGCTATTTCTTAAAATATTTCTCCTAATTTCCTTCCAATGTACACAAATCCATGCACTGGGCCACTAGTTTATTATAAGGATCTAACAACCCTCAAATACGGGGCTGTGATAATTTCTGTAGGTTTGAAATGGTGCTTAGAAATTACTTCTCATTAGCAACACTGAGATAGCAAATTGCCTGCAAAGCCAATCCTGATCTTCAAATGCTTAATTAAAACTGATGTCTTAGCTGTATTTACTAAATCAAACTATTAAATGTACAATGGGAAGTCGTATTAGAGTCAGACAGTGTTATCAGATGTGAAAATAAAATTCTTAGATATTTATTTGATTCTTTGTTCTGAAAATGAGCACGTTCATACATTAAATGAAGAAATTTTGGATATACTCGATGGAGATTTTCATACATATTTGAGTGATGATTCCATCCATTCAACGGATGATGCCAAAAAGAAAAATTTTCTCATCAAATTTCTTAATAGTAAAAATTCTTAGATATTTTTTTGTTGGAAAGTACACCAAAGAGAAGGTGCCCCCTGCCCGGAGATGTTGCTCAGTTGGTTGAGCAACATCTGGTGCACCAAGAGGTTGTAGGCACATGCCCAGGACAGGGAGGTTCCGGTTTGATCCCTAGTAGGGGAGCATACAAGAGGCAATCTATAGATGTTTCTCTCTCACACTCATGCTGCAGAAGAGACCCTGTCCAGCCAGAGTGGCTCAGTTGGTTGAGCAACATCTGGTGCACCAAGAGGTTGTAAGCACATGTCCAGGGCAGGGGGGGTTCTGGTTTGATCCCTAGTAGGGGAGCATATAAGAG